GACACGGCCTCAAGTCACAATGGGTTTGGAAACAAAGAGCTCTTTTCATTCTTGGTCAACGAGTATCGATTACCGACTGGTGGGATGGAGACGTCATCGGCGATTATCGCAATCGATCCGATATCAATCAGACATGTTTTGACACTTATTCAATTGCTTCGCAAAAGCCACGATATGACAATAACAGATTTAGCTCGACAAATGCAAAAGTACTTGCTGACGAGGTCAGATACTAAGGAGTTGGTGCTACAGACATGGCTGAAAGATAACGTATCGCCAATTGTCATATTTGACTTCTTAGGTGTCAAAACTATGTCTGGTCTGGTTGGCGATGAAGATGCGCTTGCTTTGTGTCTGTGGTATGTCCGAATGTACTGGGATGTTTGGTGTCCTGATCACGTTAATACTTCCTTCAAATACTCCACGTTTTTGGCTCTTTTTAAAAAAATGTCAAGCGATGACACGGTGAAGACGCTATTTACGGATTCACGCTATAAGATACTCGACAAGGAAGTTGATTTTGGGTTCGGTAGCCACTTAAAAAATCTCAAGTTTATGTCGATAAGGTCTCGCTGGTTGTTGAAAGACTATAAGCCGCAAACTATTTTTCGTTCTTTTTTCCCATCAGGAGAATTTACGGATCGAAGTCATGAAACTTTGCAGGTTATCGCGTTTATTAACCAATACCGATCGCAAGACACGTTCACCAAAAAAGCAGTATTTAAGTTGTTGAGTCCAGCAAATTCGGTTAAAAAGATAGTGGATCTGTTTTAATGGATAAAGACCGGACCTGCGTTGAAAGACCTAGCAACTGGTATGCTTGATTACATTTCCGACCCTTCGACTATGATAGAAGTAGATAAGATGACTCCACCCATTTATTGGCAAATTTTTGTAGCTCAACACGCCGAAAATGAACGTTTGCTATCGAGATGGCACGAATATACCACTGAGTGGAGTGTTAAACACAAGCTGGCATTTGAAGACGTGATAAAGCTGGATGTGCCGACTAGTCTTCAAGTGGCCGAACGGGAAACTCTTAAGCGAAAATCTGCCGCGGTAGTGCATACGAACGAGTTGCAACGGGAGGGATCACCTGCTCATAAGAAGCTTAGAAGAAATCCTTAGCACAACGGAAAAAAAGAAAATAAAAAACTGGCGACTACTGTCGTAATTGTTCTGACCATTTTCAACTGGCTTAAAAAATGCAACAGTATGTGTGAATAATTTTGTAGTTATCATCAACATTATTGCTGTAGCACAGATCGTCCAATGCTTTCTACGCCTTTTAAGCAAAAAATTGACCCCCGCAACCAGGTTATCATTACCTGAATCGCATTAATTAGCGACCTTGGGCGCTTTTCGTGGCTGATTCGATCAAATTCTTCCACGGTTTAACAACAATGCATTGATCAACAACATTAGACCGTGAAAGAGGACAGATGAGGAAAGCCACATCGTCCTTTTGAGTGCGGTGAAAGAGGCATCTCCGCCGACTTTGACAATTTGAATCAGATGTAACCAAGTAAATATGTTAACATTACCATAGCAAGATTTTTTGCTGGATCAACACTATGACATCATCGTCACAAACGCCTAATGTCCCAATTTACGGACATTTCAACTTTTCTTATCCAGATAGTGAAATAGCCTGACAACGACCGTGAAAATGAGAGTATAATTTGTGGATAACAATAGTGCTCGATTTTCTATCTTCAGGAGATGTGGACACGCTTGAAAAGTTTGTTGCTTGTAATTTGTCAGAAGACTGACAGACCGATGGCTAGATGTGGTAATCGTTCTCCTAGAGGGAATTACCAGCTATTACATTGCGCTTGGTCAGCACCTCCTGGAGTGTTCAGATCTGGTGTCAGATGGAGTAAACATGACCGGATTAGCAATTGTGCATCTAAGGTGTCCTGCGTCGAGGATGTAATGCGCCGAATTTGCAAGAAACTAACAGCTAATGCGATATATGACTCTCAAGCAACGACCTAAAGCGTTCTCTTAACCACCAACATTACTAGGAGGTTTTTTATTTGTAATTTTTGATGTCTGCCTGGTACATGTGAGTTTAAGTTTTTTAAGATTTACTAAAAAATATTCTGGAGGGTTAGCTGTAAAAATTTGCAAACTAAGGACTTACTTTGCATTTACTAACCAGTGCTCAAGAAGCTTTTCTCTAGATACTGCGTAAGGCATAAAAATTTCATCAACAGCATATTGGACTCGTTGTCAATATGGACACTTTCATACCCAAATTTCACTTTCGGATCAACTCGCGGGTTTCGATTTACACGCAGTGTCAAACTTTGATGACGCTTAAGAAGCGATGAGCAATACCGTGATGTAAAAATGAAGAATGGAAGTGCTAACGAACCAGCACTTGTTCCAGCTGATCTACGTGCGTTTTTCTTTCGCTACCGGCACATGAAATTTCTTTTTATTCATGATGGGCACTGGGAGATACCATTTGCAACGCTGATGCAGATGACCCACAAATGGTACAACAACTACTGAACTTGTGGGAATTTGGTTTCTGACAAAAAAATTGTTTGGAATTAGCACAAATGTACATGCGCCGTAGTTGGTGTAAAAATACACCAACAGCTTTTTATACCTCTAAAGTTATAAGCTGCAGGCTCCACATGAGAACTGCAATGAAGGATAAACTCAGCTCATCTTCTCGGCAAAAAATAATAAATAGCCTTGTTCATTCTAAAAAACGAAGGCATCTTGTATCATCCTTCACAAACGTCTAGCATGGTAAAACAGGTAACGAAAGAACACCGTTATCTTTGTAGACATAAAGGACTATCTCAGCCTTCGTCCCGAAGACTGCATATTCTTTCACAGTAACTTCAAAGTATTAATCAATCCTCTGTCAATCGTGTCATGCGCTCATCCATCTTGTCTTCACTATCCAGCAGATCAACTCTCCATTGCAAACTCCCATTGAGAAAAGTCGATGTACCTATCATTGGCTGAACGATATCAGTTGGAGATGATAGGAATTCGAGTGAGAAATTGGGATAAATCAATTTCGTTTGATGCGCATTGAACGCATGACCTTTCATAGAATGATGCTAATAATGTTTTCTGGAGGAGATGAGAGTTGTCCACCATAGTCGGCCATGACAGATTCAGACACGTTGCTACCAACTTCATTGATTAATTCACGCAATGACAAACGATTTACATCTCCACGATCTGACGAGAGCTATTTGCTGCAGTACTTCTCTGCCAATAATATGCGCAATGTACCCAAAGTCCAGTATACTCGGGCATCAATAGGTGGCTACACTTTGTTCTTTCGAGCAATTCGGAAATTGATGGTGGAATCGAGAAAAGAGAAAATCATCTCTGCAGAGATAAAAAGCGATTGAGACTCATCCGGACCCTCTACTTCATTCGAACGTTTACACGTCGCCTAAATCGAACACTGTCTGGTAATCAGGATTTAGGAACCTTAATCAAGGTTCTAAAATTTGCCATGTGAGATCAACGCCGTGCAACCATCGCTTGTGCTTCATCGACACGATAGATTCCAGCGGGAAAAGAACTCAGCTGAAGTTTTTTAAGGCTTCAAAGTCGCCATATATCGAAATAAATTGTGTACTTATATGACGTATTACATTGGCATGCTTTTCGTCTTTGGTATATCACTTCTGTCTTTCTCCTTCGAGCACGTTTAACATCAGTTTACTCACTAATACAATTTCCATTGCTGCACTCTTACCTTTACTCTGTTTCACAAAGAACCAAATGTGAAGATACAAAAGAACGCGTCCAAGAAACGTCCAGACATAGGTACAGTTAACTAATACTTCCTAGCAACGGAACAAATGGCTTTAACGCCAAATTCTAAAGTGCACAGCAAGAAAGGCATATTGCGATTCAGACAATCATGCGAGCCGCTTCGACGCAATATTGATACCGATGCTGAGCTATACGGTAAATCTTGCTTGAATTTAGAATATAAATCTTATCGATCCCTTTGTCACTTATGCACGCATTCTTTGTCAGCATGTTTAAAAGCACGGTAAAAGGAAGCTGGAAAAATTGCTTCGGTCTACATCTGGCAACCCTCACTTCATCTTTAAAAGATACAAGGGTCCACGTGACAAGAAAGACATATGTACACCATTTGAAAGAAGCATTACATCCAGCAAAAGCCGCGGGTCGTAGAGTATGCGCAGACAAGGGTGAAGCCAATGTCACTGACTCGAGGAAAATCGGAGCAATCAAAGTAAAGTTCTTTCGCGTACTAAGTATTCGTGCAAGCATAATCGACTAAGTCCAACATCCCGACATGCCCCTCAAACCATAAACAATTAGATGTATACAATTTCTTTGCTTCAAGTGTTTTGCGTCCATCCTCGGTTTGATATTGCACTTATTCTTAAACAACTAAGCAGAAGGCATAAGAGTGATATGAGCTATGTTTGGCAGCAAAAGAATGATTTACTAGAGCTTTTGATATCCGAGTCGCCATCAACACTTCCTGCAGTCATTTCCTGCCTGAGGTTTAATAGAGTCATCTGGTGGCTTTTGCGTATAGCTGCATGTGTTATCGCCGATAGTCTACTCTGCGGAACGTGTCGGAAGAAAAAATAAACATAGCCTGATATATTTGCTTCGATGTTTAAAAAATCAATGTTATATTTAGTGCAATCGGACCTCCAACGATGACATTTTGCAGCAAACAATTCGTCACCTCGCGCTGGCGAATGGCAGCAAAACATGTGATCACTTTAGCGGCGCCAGTGCAACTGTCGTCTATTTTAGAGCCTGAATCGAACACTAGAGATTCAACCATTGCTTCATCAGATTCGTAACCCAGAACATTGTTGAAAATGGCGGATTGGTCTTGTCGTCATCAATGTACTGCTGCACTTCGTCGCGCATATTAACGTCCCACGAGCTGTACAAGATTGAACAACTTTAGACCAGCTTGATAATCTCGTCAAGGTCATCGAAATCATAGTTGACTTCGCTGATGCCGCATCAGCTCGAGAGGATACCAACTGTTTGAAATAAAGGTTAAGCATTGCAGCGAGATCTTGTTTGTGGAGAAGGATAGCTGTGTCAAGCATGTGAGGAGGCTATCAGAAGATTTCTTGTATTTTTCAAATACCTGAGCACGAAAGCCAATATAACATAAGGATGTCATCTTCCAACGTACACTGTTTAGTGTGCTTGATTTGGTCGATGGATATAACCAAATCTTGATGAGGGAGGAGGACGTCCCTTTGATGGCTGTAAGTACACCGTCCGGTATGTTATGGGAGTGGCTTGTGATGCCACAGAAACTATCCAATACTTCGCAATTTGGAGGTGTCATAATAGGCAATTATCTTCTTGATCAGAAAATATTTCACAATTCGTTAGGGTTGCATTACTTTTCATGCCCATTGGCTGCTTCCATGACGTCACAATAGGAGAAAAGATCACAACACGAATTTCGTCGGCCAGACGCTGATGTATGATGTGATGCGAAGTCCAAAATCAACAGCACCTTGTGGTCGGTACGTTTCCGAATGAAGGACTTGCATACCTCATCGAAGCGTTTTTCATCAACTTCTGCTGCATGTGCAAAATCAATCAAATGATGCCAGCAGTGCAGGTTGGTTCTTTTGCTTCTATCATCATGGTGGCAGAAACACGTAAAGTCCCCGCAGCATTGCAGCAAACGATAAGGGTTACACAATGTTTGGCATTGTTTTTCTCTCGACAGAAAAAATATCTTCTTTGGGCAATCAAAAAGTATATCAGAGAGCCAGTGGCCTCTTTCCCCATATTATAGATGCGGGACGGGTCGTACTGGTCGATAGCAGACTCTATCTCCTGCAGAGCATTGGTGTCAACATCATCATCTTCTCCGAAATGGTTGGTGTTATTAAAGTGAAATGGTTAGCGGAATCTGGCATACAGACTCACAAGTCTTTGATTTCTTGAAAATCTAAGGCACCGACGATTGCTTTAACATTAGGCTGGGGACCCTTGACGTTGGATTTAGCGCCATACGACGGCTAGCTTCGATTCAATCAAAAAAATTTAAGTTTATGCTGAGCTTTAAGCCTTTGATAACCGGAACGGAGTAAACTTTTACCTTTGAATGATTTGGCCACGAACTCGGCCACGGTCTTACCAGAGCAAGATTCTGATGCCCATAACTTCGGCCATTCTAAAAGTAGCGCAACGGCGTGTCGCTTGCGATTTGCACGCTGGGAGGTCGCCCGCGTGAATGGGTTTTCCGCGCGATCTCGGTTAAAAAAGCGCTCCCAGCATGAAGGATATGAAGCAACAGATATCTCAGGTGTTCGTACTACCTTATTAGGTGTATCGAGTACGTTTGAAGCTCTTATCTGCTTGTTAAGGGGGCTAGAACCGGCAGACTGTGTCTAGGGTTTAATAAAGGAATTCACCGCAATGTATCAAGATCCCCCGATAGCGGTACACTTTTCGTATAGGGAGTCCAATAAATGTGAACCAAACAAGTACTTTCCGCGTGAACCCTATCTCTTTTGCAAAGGCTGTGTGCTTCGCATCCACTAAGGAACACAACATTTCGTACCTCTAGAGCAGTAAACGGCTCTAAAAATGTTATCTCTTCGAGTGCGCCAAAGCCGATGGACCTCATCCCTGCCGAGGAAGATGAGACAGGTCTATGAACTACCAAGCAGCCCCGCAGATGCCGCAGATGATTTATCTGCGGGCTGATATATCATCTGCGCCTCGTGTATCACTCGAGAGGTACGAAAGATCGGGCTCCTATACGGGCGGTCGACGGAACCCTCATGGGGAAACGTCAAGTCCTAGAAGGCTCAAGACGGTCTACAAAAAAATATTTGGGATGTGTGATAATTCATAGATGCAGCAGGGCTACCATAGCGTTGCGCTTGAATGAAGCGTAATTTGGGTCTTCGACCTTTCGTTCTATATTTCAAACAAGTACGAGTTAGCAGATCGCAATACGTTTACTCCAAGAGTAATTACAGTTTTCACCCAGGGCTAATACTCTTCCGTTTTAGACTCAAAAACTGTTTTTTATTTATGTTTATCTGCAGCCTAATTTTACATGTTTAGATTTTCCTGAATATACAGTAAAATCTAAATATATGCAAAACAACAGGCTACTTAGCCACATACCGTATTCTTGTTTGGGTGCAGTCACACCATGCCCATCTCGTTTGACACACACACCCTGTTACCAAGGTACGTGTAACCCCGTTACAATGGAGATCGAGCTTAATGCAACTCAGTCTTATAAACAGCAACGCTTTCTTTAACTAACGTGAGGTTAACAGCACATGGTGATTTGTTGTTGCTATCAACGTTCCGGACTTTGTGAAGCCGAGGACATTCTGAAAGACATTTCATCGTCGTGCAATTACGTACGACATGTGATTGTCGAAGCAGTAGGCGCATCAAAGACAGGGATGCGTTGTACGTACGTCCTGTGACGAAAACGCCGCATAATGTGTCGGAAGTTTTGTTGAGCCTTTAAGTGAAGTTTGGCAGCGTAGAACATTTTCTAGCATTTTAACAACCCGGGGCGTTGTCTTGTCCTGAAACTAGATTTGATATAAGATCTCATTTTAGGCATGGCGAGCTAAGAGCGCTACGAGCCATGGGCCGACTGGAATGCGAAAAAGCTAGGTGGCACACACTATTTGTCTGACGAAGCATTGTTAAGTTGCTTAAGTGTATCAGTTTGATGAGCAGATGTGCATCAACGAGACTATAATGTCGCTAGCGAACTTGTTTAAAGAGGTATGCAATTTCTTAAGTGAGAACAAGTTATGGAATAGAGTTACGATCGTATTCAATTATAGGAGACTAGTTAACTGTAAAATTATTGTTGCTACATGAATCTTGAGGCAGCAATTGCACGATCGAAAAACCACAACTAATTTTTAATTTTTTTCGAACGTATGCCATCTCTTCTCAACGAATCAATGTACTTTAGCATGGCAACTGCTACTTCTGACTCTGAGTTCGACAGCGCCTGTTTAAACAGCAACACCGTACCATCAAGTGATACCTTCTGAAGAAACAAATCCAAAATCATTTTACTGGTGAATTTCTTACGTTTCTTGTAAATACCGATAAATTGAATTGCCGGCATAAAGTTTTTGTCGTCAATAGAAGACATTGGTGACCGAAACAGGTATTTGAAATATTGTTTAGGTGTCGTGCCATAAATCAATATCTTTAGATTCCAGCTCCTGGCAATTTTCGAAACATCACAAGTAAATACCATTGTAAGCAGGTGATAAAATGCCTTCGAGGACAGCACAGCCGTCATTTGCTGTATTGACAACTGTTGTTTCAGAAAAGCATCAATATCCTTATAGAGATAAGGATAGACACCCAGAGTCGATTTCACATGTTTCCAGTATAATTGGACATATCGCAGCCACAAGTTGAAGAGATTGAGATCAATCATATTTGAATTTTTTAGAAGAGAAAAAACGTACCATGTATCCTCCGGGTGTGCCATATTAATTTTCCACGCATTAAGCACCAACTCCACTGTATCCGCTCTTAGGAGCAAAGGTCGCTGCATCTCGTCAGCTAATTTTTTCAGATCTGATTCGTGGCCTTGGCGAAGCAACTCAAATAATTCTACCACTTGTTTAAGCGAGTAGACGTATGGTGAATCGGAGATCGCAACTGCCAGGGTCGTTTGTACTGGAATCGGCTGAAAGGAATAAATATCCACCAAGAAAGAAAAAAGGTCTTCGTTATTGAATTTCATATGACTTGTGGCCGCGTCATGGGTAACCGTGTCATGGGCGACCATGTCTCCGACGTTTGCGAGGGGATCATCCATCGCGTGCGAGTCCCTCAAGTAAATAATATATTTGAACCATGCAAAAACCTTTGGATCAATGCGTCGCACGTCATCCGGGAAATGCGGAAGATGAACGTTCATGATATAAAAAAGTTCCTGAGGAGATACACCAGACCTCAGGTAGTGCGAATAGATCTCTTCTGTTTCTTTATAGCTGTTCCACGAGACATCTGTTGTACCAAGTAAAGTTCTCCAATCTTCTTCACCAAGCAAGGTTTTCACTTCAGACAACGTATCTTAAGCCTTATCTGCTTCTGTTCTCCATATATCAGTGTTCGTGACACCATGTAGTGGCGATTCTGGAAGTTTATGTTCAATCGGAATCTTCGATTCGAGGAAATGTCCTGTGTCGATAAGATCTTTGCTCATTTGGCGAATCAAAGACACTTCTGGCCCTGTTCTCGCTTCGGTGTTGTTGTCATTAAGAGAATAGTTTTTCTTCGGTACAGTACTACTGTTATGCGTGATGGTGGCGGTCATATTGAATTGACTACGTGTATCCGGCACTTCGTTTTGACTTGCACTCGAGTCGCACGCGAAAAAATCACATACACCAACAAGGCATATGATCACAGTGCGTTTTAAGATAAGCGGCTTCATAATTGCCCACAACGATCTTTGGATGTCGAATCTTTCACAAGAATACGAAAGAGAGGCAAGCTTGTGGATCTTTTAGATTAAAGCCACGATCATCTTTTGATCTGCGTGATACCGGTATGTTGGCTAGTTTTTATTCGCAACCTGATTTATAGATGCAATAGAAAGGCTAAGCGTGAATAAAAGCAACATCCGTATCAAATGTGTATGGTAAGGTTCATCTTTTTAGCTTGATGTTTTGAGCATTTGTCATCCATGCCCCGTACCATCCACTGTCATGACGAGGACAAAGTTGGTCAGCTGACCCTGAGTAAAGCAGTGCCAGATTCTCCCGAATTTTCACAGCGTACTTTCTTCTCCTTCTGTGCTGACTGCCTGCCTATCTTCATAATTGACTTTATTTAAGAATTTGCGTATGATATACTTAAATAGCTCAATGACTATCTATGGTGGTGTGTGGTTCTAATAATTTTGAGCTGACTTTTACAACCTAATTTTTGCTAGTTTTGCTAATTTAAGTCTTTCCAGAACGAGACAGTTCATTAGGATACTGAGTGTCTTTGATACTAATACTTGCAGGTGCAGGTACAATCAAGGAATCCTGTTGCAAGAAATTCGGCTAGGACAGGAAAGGCGCTAAATAATTATAGCAGTAAGGCTCGCAATCCTCTCTGAATTATTTGAAGATTGCGCCAAGAACACGCTCTTTGAAATTACGAAGACATACGAATGAAAACATGTCCATCACTAGAAACGTTATCTTGCTGTTTTGAAGATGATGGCCACTTCGGATATAATAACAATGAATCGCACTGTATAATTGTCGCTTTTTACAGCCAAAACCAGACATCATTATGGCACGCAATGCATTTAAACGTTTATGTTTAAACCTTGTTCAAAATCATGTTTCTATTTTTGCTCAATAATATGAAAATAAAAAAAAATATAGGCGCATTTCGTGTTATGAAGCACGCCAGCCTCTGACATCTCGCCTCGTCTGCCATCACCTGGAAATTGTAATCCTGTTGCAGCATCATAATTCCGTCCTCGCGATCACAATCTGATGGCATCTCAGAAGCGGACTGGGGCCGTCCTGCGTCGGAGAACAGGCTACATTTCATCAAGCTGAACAAGAAGTGCAAAAACGCAAGATTCTGGCATATCTGTATTCACTGCAAACAGGCCTACAGTCAGGAGCATCGGTGGGCCCAGAAGCACTTGAATCACATTTGAGTGATTCCTAACATTATACAGACTCTATTGACACAACATCAACGTGCAGGTGGTCACGATGCTGCCTATACACGTAACAACTCGAGCTTAGATCGGACGCCAATACTAAGAACAATAAGCGAGTGCGTCAGTCTTCAACGTTTAAACTCTGTCCTGCTCCATTACGTAACAGTCAATTGCAAAAATTTTAGGCAGAAAATACTCTTTCTGCTGCTTTTACAACGTGACAGCGACTTGGACTTCTAACCGCATATCACGTAAGAAATATTGTTGTATCATGAGATACATTAAGGCATATATATGCAGTACATTTTTAGACATACATCCCTGCTGCCACAATATGACATATAATTAGTTCTAACAACGTTCACCCCTGATCAGCAGATCAGACAAGCCTTTTTTACTCTCGGCTCCACTTCTGGTCGGAGAATATGAACTTAACTTTTGTATGTTTTTCACCGCCGACTTTTGTATCAATTTTTGGCTGCCGCACCCATCTTCCCGATACTTCGGTACCTCTAAATTATCACAAATATTAGTGTACAGTGAAATCGTACAATTCTACAAAATTGTAATTACCAGCATTGTGTACCCATTACACAAGCTGCTCTAAACTGAAAAGATATTTGAATTAAGTCTAGTCGAGACTGTGACAGATTATATTTGCTCTAATATTTATTATAACAATAGTATTTCAATGCTCCAAACGTGACATTCTGTTAGTGCACATACGCAACACGGTCCACCAATCGTACAGTTTTATATATCAGTACGCCGAGAAATCCAGCTTTATTCAGAAAGAGGCTGATTTAGTGACAATGTGAAAATAGCAGTGTTGATTTTTAAAATGCGTTGCAACTTCAACATCATACAAAAAAAAGAGAGAAATTTTCTCCGACACTAGTTCGCCACCGCGTATCTGGGTCCATGATTGATACTAGGCCTTGTGGGGGGAAATATTTTCCCGAGTACATGCTGAGGGGCGAATCAAAACTGTGCTGGAGTAAAAAAAATCCCCTTTTTCGGTTACTTTTTTTGCATCCATCACAAGTCCGATTTCATCACGAGTAAAGCTAAAACGTCAAGACTGAAAACATCCGCATCTATACTGCCGTCACCGTCCATCTTGTAGAGCTCTCGAAACAATGTACCGCACACGTCATATCGAGCAATCAACCAGTTATTAGTAATTGTCTGCATAATCCGCACCAATGACGGAAATAATGACAGCGTCTCAATCGTCCTATGTCCACGCCTTCGGACGCATGAACACACTGGCGTCACTGGATGTGGCCTAAGATTGTCATATTTGGTGTATACCACCTAGTCACTCTGTATCAACGCACCAATTTTAGCCATACAAAATATCGATAAATGCTAACACCACCTGCCTGAAAATTACCAGGAATTTCACACATATTGATGTTGCAAGTCCGGCACTTTACCTTGACTTCCTTCGAGGTATGGGCTCTCATCGAGTCCCACATGAAAATTTTCACTGCTAGCAATTACCACAGGTACCTGAAAAATGATACAGCGTTAATCAGCGAGCCGTCAACCCGTGCCCTCTTTCTGTTACGTGACTTTCAATTTATCAGTTTTTCAAAGTTGGCCAGCAAGCTCTTTGCAGATCAATATTAAAGTACACGGCAATATATCAATTAATTTTGATCGAGACCTATCGTGGTCACTGATCTTACAGAGATCGCATGCAGCTGACTGACGTCAAACGACGAGATTGTCGGCTAGAATGGTCAACTTGGCGCAACGACTTTGAGAGTGGCCGAAGCAAGCCATTCAATCTATCAATGCTGTGAAGCAACGAATTTCTCGTGCAATAAGTCGTCTTTTCGGAAATATTCCAAAAAGGCAGCACCCATGTGGGAGATCCCAGTCTTGATCATGTTTCTTTCTTGAGAAGCTCGCTTATATTTGTGTCGCAAGCAGATTTACATGGTGTCTTACGATCACTACCAGCAAGACGCAGCTGGTGTGGTTTAACCACCATAATGCCCGCTTGTGTTTGCCACTTTCTAGCTGCGGTACCATTCGCACCCAGACCAAGCGTTCGAATATTGGCAACGGATAGACTGGGCACACGCCCACCATATTCTTCATTTCACACAATAACTTCTTGCTCTCGCCACATATGATTGGCAATACCATTTCTGTCAGTGGTGGCTGGGTGCCTGCCATAAATTGATGACAGCAACAAGTATTGAAGCTTCTGCTATGGCAGCTGTCCGGAAGTATAAGTCTTCGTTATTTGTTAGGGGATCTGAAGTCAATATGGCACGTAGTGATTATTGTGTTTTTGAGGAAACCAGACTCTATTCAGAAAAATTCGTTTTATGTCAATCACATCTTTTTGCGATGCTTATTGTCAGATTTTGACGTCCCACGGAAATCTCCGGTACAGAAACTCATCGTCATCTCTAAAACCAGCATATAAATAATTATAATTACACGAACGTTTAATCCGAATTAGGTGCGATTGTATCTTGAACAATTTCGCTGAAGCATAATATATACAGCACAATAGCACAGTATGCACCCCGTTTTAAAACTCCCCATATAAATTCTTGAAGAACATTGCACAAGTTGAACGCTTAACAAACGCCCACTGCATCCGAAATTTCATTCTACACCATTCACCTACCGTTTTTGATGATTTACTCGCATGGGAGTCATCTCCGTTAAAGATTATGACATGGCCCAGCGTCATCGATAAAAGACGTTGTCTTTGCGGCCGGCGACCTTACAGCGGTTTTTGGTGAGAAAACGAGGTATTTCTCGATAAGAACAATCTTCATGGGCTTCCGAATTCAATCAAGCATCTTCACTCCCACCGAAAGATAAACGGCAATGCCGTAAGCTGAGAAAGATGTACTTTTCGCTCTCCATCTCTCCTTTGCATGAACTATGCACTCTGTACACGTTTCTATGGGGAAAATGTAAAAACACCCTGCCACCAAATTAAAAACGTCGTTCAGCTCATCAACAATCCGCTAGACCTAATCTGAGAGCTCATCTTGCCTGTCTTCTCGCGCAGAAGATGCAACGACTTTGCTGAACTCGATAACATTGGAATTACGGATAAACGTATCTTGTGTTAGTCGTCGCGCTGGGTCAGAGCTCTACACGGTATTCGTGCAGGCCTTTTGCTCCAACAGAGAGCAATATGATTAATCTCTGGCTTTTCGTCAACGGTTTCTGTTATCACAGGTCATCACCATTCAGAAGATCCGCTTATGCTGGGTGAAGCAGTAATAGGGCGATCCCTGAGATCGGTTTTTGATTGAATGAATGCTAGCTAAAGTACCGAAGCGTGTCGCACAAATTAGCGAACTGAATGAGATGCACACGTCTCCTTGTTCATGCAACATTTTTGAAACCCATCTTGGGGAAGAAGACGCCATGAATGAGGAGCACACTTCTTTTTGTTCATGTAACATTTTTGAACCCCATCTTGGTCTAGAAGAAGCCCTACTACAGAGTCATATGACCCTTGACATTGCAAAGTACAAAGCACAACGAGAGAAAAGTTTATCACTTAAGTCCTTGTTATGCGCCTCTTCTGTCACAATCCAGCACCAATTGATGACCAAAACAAAATGTCAAATGAGCCCTGAATCTGCCCCGTCAGAATCAAGATCGGCTATTTCATGTTACCTGTGACGCCTCCACTTTGTCATCGACCGCGCTTCACTTCAAGCCGATGCTCGTTGGCTCGTGTGCTTCATTGCGTTTGCATCAAGCCAGCATTGATCGACAGAAAGAAAAAGACCAACTAGCAACATGGGTTACTCATCCTAGAGTAACCTCTTATCAATTTAGCATACGCTACCTTGGATCCGTTTGTGATCTTTACGGACAACACACTAACAAATAGCAGCATCATCACCATGCTTCCTAAATAAAATTAGCAAGATAACTATTGTTCAATGACATTTTGACAAAGCTCTGGACGGCTTGTTGAGGTAGCAAAAGGACTTATATGCCACCAAGATATACGGTTGCCATCTCACAATGGTGACGTAATACATTGACGATGCTATTTTACGGCATTCGCTTTTAACACAACATGTGTGGCGCTATTAGAAAGAGAAATGAGTGTTAAGCTAATAAATTGCGGTATCTATACGATTGCGATCGCATTGTACACACCACTCTATAGCTCAAGGTTATGAGTAGAAAAGTATGTGAGTAGGAAAGCATGTATTTGGTTGACATAGAACTGAGAGCCGTATTATAAATACTGCAAAAACACGTGTTTTTCAGGTAGAAGGTCATTTTGGAGACGTACAGCTCAATGCGTGTCATATATTATCGGCCCAATCGATTCAAATGGGTGAAATAAGCCCTCGTCTTATTTTCGGAGAATCTGACCAGACTGCTAGCTCCAGCAGAATGTTTGCAGTCGATGAGTATGGTGAACGTGCAGGACCACCAATTTAAAGAGATCATTACGCCGTACATTTCCTCTCTTCAGAGGTGGCCACTGAAATATGAGCCTTTTTATTGAATCTTGTAATTATCATCCGCATCATGAGAAACCACGAAACGTTGAGTGTCAAGTGGGTTAGTCGTATACTGGAAATAAGGAAGCAGTGCAAACGGGCAACGCAACGAATAAAGTATGCGTTGTATAGTTCAAGATAGCCCTAACCACACAGAGCTCTTAAAAATACATCCTTTATTGCATCTGGCGATTTCAAGGTACTTATTTTCTCATCAATTGGCGATGTCACCACGGCAACATGTGATAGTTCATAATTATGTGACAAGAAGTATACGCCAGCACATCAGACTGACTCGGATCTACCGTACGTCAGAATCATTCTCGGCAAACAAGAATAATGATTTTGTCATTGTCCATGAAAATGTAGTGATGACATCGCTACGCTTAACGATGCGTGACAGCTATACTTCACAAACGCTTAGCCGGTGTATCCGAACGTGACATAGTCATATCTCATTGCAAGTAGCTGCTTGACATTATCCTCTGCTGCTTTATGCTCGAGAAAATCAAACAAGATTACGCTTGCATGGTTTTTTGTATCTGTGCGGCGTCAAGTACAGCATTTGTTAAAGGTCGTAGCGTCACAGACGGCTAATTATGGTTATAATGGATCCACAAGAGACATTCAAGGAGCTTTCTTTCATAGCCTTAACGAATCCTCCTTTTCAATTGCGCCCATCACCATTCAGCATCTTTTTAAAGAAGTCGTAAGGAGCCGTGAAGCAACAGACAATGCCATTTACAGAAACAGGAATTCAATTTACAGTTACCGTATTCACGACTACCATAGCTACGACCAATGCGAACAATGGTTGCTTTGGCAAGATCACGATTCTGAGGTAGCAAATTTCGGCGGCGTAAAAATCATGATTGAACGTGGAATTATCATTGAGCGGTGAAGCGCACTGAACCAAAGGATTTTTGGACACATGGTGAAAATTCATAAACCAAGTGACTTTCAAGCCAAAGCGACCGAAAGTTGTCCATGCGCTGCCAGGACACTCAATCAGTGCGTCAAGCGTACTGCATGTTAGGTCTTGACTTGCGTCACTTGCTGTTTCAGCTCCTGATCGAACGGGTCTCGTTATTATACTTACGTATAGCGAGTTTGTCGTTGACTTTTTGCTTCGATCCCGTCGTTCTAAAAAAGCATAATATATGGAAAAGATCCAACTTATTCGGAAAACTAAATCATAAGAAACATGACACAACAATAACGGAGACTTTATCAGCCACGGTGTTTCAAGTCTTAGAAGTCTATGCCGAAGCGGACTGGAAAAATACGGGGCCGCTATAACTTAATAATATGATTCATACAATCAGTATATGCTGACCTTGCTGACCACCTTTTAGATAATTGAACAAATCACATAAGAATTCAGTTTGACACGCTTATATCCAAAAGTAAGTTTTGCATTATCCATATTGATTATGTTGATATTGCACCGCTGAATGGATCGATACGGCGATTACGTGTCCGCGGTATTTACGATGGCTCAAGCATGTCGGTTACGACTATTAATACGGACGTAATTACGGATATGATTAGAGTCGTTCATTGGTTTAGATAAATGATATTGCTTGTAGAAGCTTCTAAATGGATTTAGAAGGATAGGCTTGTTGTAGTAGCACAGATTAGTATTCACCTTGCCTCAAACCTTCTATTCACATGGATAAACGTCGGGTTTTTTGCGGCGGAATCCTGTTGAGTCTCAATCAATATTGGAAGCGCGTTATGATGAGTGATCCTGGGCTTTTAGCCTAGGGGAAAGTCCAAATGTGTACCAGCAGTAGGAGAGGCTAGATGAATCTCAGCTCGTAAGTGGCATCGGTGCTAGGATAATCTTGCCGGAATCGAAACCCGAATTCCCGCTAATAATTTTAGATTAGTATAGCTTTCTCATTTCCCCAGATGCTGATAGCAGCTCTGATATACCCAATGATCCCCGATAAAGATGGGCAACCTTTGCTTATTAAGCAGTGCTGGTCGAGGTTGATTCTTTTCCACAGGCACCTGCTTGGAGTGAAGCACAACTTATGACATGTGCAAACGCATCACAAACGACGTGGAATGGCCGATCTGGTATTGTTAGAGCCTTTATCGGGGCACGCATTAATTTTTCTTTCTCATCCTCAAACGTCGCATCTTCAGCCGCACCCCAGCACAATTTTATATCTAAGGTGATCGGAGAGGGGATGTGCTATGAAGGCATAGTTTGCACTGTACTTGTGTAAGTAGTTGGCTAGACCGGGCCACTTCCTTCAGTCCATTTGGAGCAAACGCACTGGCCAATCTTAAGCAGTTTTTATTCTGCGGGATCAGTCCGCAGGTCTAGTTTCGCGATTGAGAAATCCCTAATGGGAATTTCGTCGGCGACAAAAACTCACTTACCTCACTTCGTGAAGAGCTTAATTAAGTTTAAGAACTTGAATACCGCTCATAAGTATGCAGTGATGTTCTTTGCATCTCACCCGCGCTTTCAACGACGATGAACAAATGTATCGTCGAAATACGTTTGTGCATATTCAAGATATGGCCTGAAAAGCAGCGTCATGAGCGAATGAAACGCCGCTGGTGCATTGATTCACATATAAAGATGGTAATTGTTACCGCGGATTTGACGCCATTGCGGCGTTTAAAGCTCTTAATATTTAAATATTAGCCAGTTTTTGCTTGTCTTGGCGGGTCAAAATGTTCCGGTATACCAGATCAGGAGGTGCTGACTTCCGCGACATCCTTCGTTTTGAGTGTTCCGCGTTAGAAACGGTTTTTTCACTGAGGTATTATACATAGGCGTTTCAATAAGCGCGTGACCTCCTCTTTGAAGATCGCAAGGGCGATGTGCCGAAGCGCAGTTTGAAGCATGGCCAGAACGATAGCCATCACAACTTCCCTTACGAAAATGAACTTTTATTTTCTGGGAAGGGAGGAAGTTCGAGGAGTGTGTCCGAAGAAAAATATTGGAGAGGTCCCTACGAATCCTCTACATGCAGTCATTTCCTAAGTAATCCGAAACCGTAGTAAAAATCCTTTGAGAACATTCTTCTGGCGTTGGACTATCATGTTCATAACCTAAGCTTAACCACTGAGCCACTAGTCCTCAACAATTTCCCCACCCCGGCCTTATAGGTGTATACGCTGAACATGACCGGTCTCACAGTAAGGCGCGTCTGTTTCACCACCGGCAGTCGAATCTGGTGCTTCTGACGTATTTCACCTGCGTATTCTCAAAGCTAGAATGCGCTTCCAGGACCCCTTCGAGCCTTTTGGTCGCCAGTTCCCGAATCTTTTCAGGGCCCGGATAGACCCAAGCTTCTTAATTTCGTCTATTTGTTCGGGCCATTCTCCCCCCCCGCCGCAAAGGATACAGTCTTTACACGATCTGTCCGCAGATTGACTGCAAGCGCTATCAAATGCAACGGAATTGTGTGCAGTTCGCACAAAAAAGGTTGACTCTTCGCAATGATAAACACACAGAGGTTGAGTCTGTGTCTTCTACAAGGAGCTGATCCGTGAGCATCCAAAGTGCCTAGCAATGTTAGTCTGCTCTGCTTTCTCAAGAGTACAAATACTCAAAATTCGTGTTAATCAGGCTAATACCAGTATATAGGTTCTACTCAAGCTGTCTTTATAACGTGCGGCTTGCAGCCCACGTCTACAATGATCCTTCTTTACAGACTTTTGTAATCTTCCTAAATTCCGATATTTCAAAGTTATGAATGCTCAAAATTACACCAAATGCAATGTGTATTTCGTACATATACCGTAGTACCCTTTTAGCAAATGTGATAGTGCCTCGTAGCAGCAGCACAAATAGACGTCAGCCATATGACTATGCCAGAGCTTTTGTAAACGTCCGCTGTGGGAGTCGTCTTTATTTTTGTCGCGGTAATTAATTGTTCGAAATTAGTAAATTGAGCTTTAATTGATTTTTGTTTTAACTGGTGAAATTATCAAGCTTTGTTCTGGCGATAATCTTTAGTCAATTGTCCTAGTCACGTACATTAAGCCTTCAGGTCGCTGGTATTCTTGTATGCGATCCGTTCATCTAAATTATGCCGAGGAGAACCCGTTACGATCAGTTGACTACTGACTGTCAAGGGATAAATCATTCATGAAAAATTAACAGCTATGTGATGTGATACTTGTATAACAAGACGACAGCAAAACCACAACCGTTGCCAAATTTGATTCAACATCATGTTTAAGGAACTGGCATCGTGACTAAACATTTCTGGGCTTCTTTGAAGCAGGTATTTCTTGATTCTCTAAGTAATTTACCAGATATTCTGCTTCCGGTAACTGCTTTAGGGCTTTCAAGACTTGTTCTTCTTGCCTCGGCTCAATGTCCTGGAGCAGATTCACGACATCCGATTGCACGGTGTTGCTTTTCCTTTGACGAAAGTACCATTCGGAATAACGAAACCATTGCTGCACCACCACAGCAGTCACGTGTTGGGACAAAAAGAGTTGCCAGTATTTCTTAGGATTCATGCGGTTATTTTTCGAAAAGTTGGTAAAGGGGAGGTAGTTAAGCATTCCGACTGCTAGATCTTTAAACTCTGAGTGCCCCATAGCCAAACGAGCCAGCTGAACAATGTCATCAAGCTCAATCGTCGATAGCAACATATCACAAATCATTCTGCTTGTAACTGGCGCTCGCTGTTGGTACAGCATGATAAACTGAAATATCGGCACGAAGTCAAGACTTTTTCGCTTCAACCTTGGTAATGAAAACAGGAGCTGGAAGTAAGACTGGTGTCATATCATTATCCAAGAGAAATTTATTCCAATTTGCTCTAATTTTGCTTGCAACGTCAATGGGGAGAACTTCTTCAAACAGGTGACCAAACGCTTTGGTGGAATACACGATCGTCAATTGGTGTATCGTTAACTTTTGTTCTAAAAGTTTGAGAAAAGCATTAGGGTCAAGGTAATACTTCATAGAGCTTGGAGGTACACTCATATAGTACAACTTGGCATATCGCAGCCACAACATGATGTCATCAAAACCAATCAAACCATGCTCTTGTAAAATAGAAGGTACAATCTCGGGCGACTCTCCATTGTGCAGCCACGCCTTGAGCACCAACTCCTTTGTATCCGGCCTTGAGAGCATGTACCGCTGCATACCTTCAGCTATTTTTTGCGTGGCCGATTTGAGTCGAAGTTTTTCAAAAAGCGTCACGACTTGTTGTAGCGAGTCGAGTGATTCTTTCTCGGGTGTGTTCAAAGCCGACGGCGTCTCCGTCTTAATCGTTTTAAAGTAAGTGGTGACCAAGAATGAAAAGAGCTCTTGATCATTGCATATTGTAAAACCCGTATCTGTTTCCGCGTCGTGGACTTTCAGATTTTTAGGGAAATTCCTGTAAAGAGTAATATAATCAAACCACATGGGAATCTTTCGATCAATTCTTTGACTGTCTTTTGAAAAGTCCGGGAGGCTGATTTTCATGTACTGAAACAGAGCAAATGGACTTTCCTCGGTGAGCGCGCAGTGACGAAAGATCTCTTTTCTAATCTCAAGTTTGTCCCACCAGATACTCGGTGCTTTAAGCAAAGATCTCCAATTATCGTTCTTAAGCAAGGTCTTCACTTCAGACAGCGCAGTTTGAGCTTCAGATTTACGAGTGCTCCCACTGCCAGGCAGTAGCCATTCCGTAAGTCTATGCTCAAGCGGAATCTTCACTTCGAGGGAAAGTTTCGTGTCTATTAGACCGCTGCTTATTTCGTGGACGAAAGGTACCCCTGGCCCTGTCCTCGTTTCGGTGTCGTTGTTAATGTGAGAGTAGCTTTCCTCAGTGACTGTACTGTTATGCGGGATGGTGGCGGTCATGTTGGATTGAGTACGTAAATCCGGCATTTCGTTTGGGCTTGCCCTCGAGTCGCACGCGAAATAAACACATACACCAATAAGGCATTGGACCATAGTGCGTTCTGAGGCAAACGACTTCATAATTGCGCACCACCATCTTTATAAGTCGATTCTCTTAGAATGTGAGGCAAGCTTCTGGATAGACACACAGCCTTAACAAATTTTAGCATAGATTACATGGATGACGCCACAATCATCTTTGATCTGATACCAAGCAATAGAAAGGTGTGATACCGAAATGTTGGATAGTCTTTATTCTCCAAGTAATATAAACATGTATGGAGGGGAAAAGAGTTGAAGCGTGGATATAAGTAACATCCATGTCAAATTTGTATTGCAAGGTTCAGTTTCTTGGCTTGCTCTTTTGAACATTCGTCGTCCAAGCCCTGTTTCTATGCTCTCCAGTAATGACGCAGACAAATTTGATCAGCTGACACCAACACTACATCAGGGAAGTGTCTTTGATGCTTATACATAACAGAAACTGGCTGGGATAAGACAGGCGGTTAGAAAATTGTAGCAGTAAAGCTCGATTCTCTCTGAAATGAGTTGAGAACTGCTTTGAGAACACGTTCTTTGATGCGACTCAACATCTTTTGCAAAAAATAACTATGCAGTCTATGTAAACTATGAGTAACGTCACTGAGTTCATGGAGACCAGTCGAACAATAGCGCACTTACATTTTTTTAGAGACAAAAAGCTAGGGTCATGTTCTGGAGTCATGCTGTACACAGACAACACCTTGATGAATTATGTTTATTGGTGCAGCCTAGGCTTTAGGTGACAAGCCCGTGAGTTGTACTGGATAATATTGCCAACATGCAGCCATCAGAGCGATAATAACACTTGGACTGCTAGCCGCACATCAAGTAACAAAAAAATGAGATTTATTAATACGTATCTACGACATATATAATCAGCTGTATAATCATTCACCCCTAATCATCAGATCAAGCAAATCTAATTCACTTTGTTGCTCCTGGTCAAAAAATTTAAGTCAAACTGCCGCGCATCATCTTCATTAAGGTACGTGCTCAGACGATTCTACAAGTTTTGTGAAATTTGTAGAATTCTACAAAATTGGAATTACCTACACCTATACATTGTGTACCCATTACACAAGTTGCTCTAGAATCAAAGTTATAATTGCGTAGACTGTCAGAAATTATATTTGCTTTATTATCCCGGGAAAAATAAAAATACCAGAAAAAAAGATTATTAAAACAAATAAACCAGATATTTAAAAAAAAAGTGTCGAGCATGTATATATGTATACCTCTCACAATTAAATGAACCAATGATTATGCCTCACCAACAAGGATTATTACAGTGAGGGGACGTCAAGGAGGACATCCTGTGGAACCCAAAACAACAGAGCAAAATGAGTCAAAACTCACTAACTTTCACCGGTGGGATTTGAGTTCACCAATGAAAGTCGTGGAAGACCTAAGAAGAGTCGTATTCGGTCACAACAGGCAATTAATTGCTCGGCTTAAAAGAATCGGGTTCGTAGATGCGGTGTTTGCAAAACTGTGGGACATTATAGCAAAATCTATGATGAAGCTTAATCTTTATGGTAGTCTGGCAAACTATTTTGATGTTATTGATTATTTGTAGCTTTGCATGGGTTACTTCCACAAGAAATAACGATGACTTCAATTTGTCACATTATGTGCACTAGATTTATTCTTATACTGTTTTTAACATCACAAATATGTATACATAAAAATATGTATACAAAACTTTACTTGAAGTAGTATACACCTGTTTTTTTAAATATCTGGTATATTGTTTTATTTTTCTGATTTTATTCATTTCCCTAATATCTACTATGATGAAACCCTATTCAATACTCCAAATATGACTTAATTTAGATTCAGTTATCGGGTTTTCCTTATTTTTATACGACTCAAGGCCAAAAAATCCAGCTTTATATAGAAAAACAGGTTAATTTACTGACAAAGTATGCAAACTCAATATTGTTAAAAAAATCCTCAATAATTCTTGAGAACATACCTCCGACACCGGTTGTCCACTGCGGGTCTGGGTCCATGATGGATCGGAGGCGTTTGTGTGGAAATTTGTTTCCCGAGGACATGCTAAGTGGAGATGGCTAGTGCCACGTGATGTTCCTCGGTTTGGAGCATGGCGGATGAGATGGCCATCCCAACCTTTCGCATCCAGAGCAGGCGATTCTCTCCATTCTTTCCCTCAAAGACCTTAACGCTCACCATGAGCGGATTAGGTCGGGGGAAGTCACCGTCACCGAAGGTGGCGTCATAGACGCAAACGATGCAGACATCTTCTGTTGCAAGTGCTCTAGCAGCGCATTTTCGTAACTCGAAAACGCCTCTTGACGGGCGCCTATTGCCTTGGGGCCTTAGGCTTTAAGGTGCTGCACGCCCTCAGGGCCAAGCAAAGATATCAGTATGTTAAGCCCGTCCTGCATGCCCTGGGGCAAAGAGGAAAATTCCTTCATCCTCGTAGAGGGTCAGTCTATACGACTCAGGTTTAGATTGACTACAAGCGCTACCAAGTGCAGCGGGGCTGCCGTAGCAAAGCGCTTGAGGAAGCGTACTCTATGTCACCGACCTTTCGTTCTTTACAAGAACCAAGTATGAGTCAGCGATCGCAATCCGCTCACTCCAAGAGTAATTAACGCCTTCCCAAGGCTAATCGACTCTTCGGTCTAAATTCAGAACCGAATTTTGTTAATTTTTTATCCTGATTTAAAAAGTAAAGATTTTGCTAAATATACTAAATATATATAGTAAAATCTAAATATTTGCATAACTACAGGCTACCTAGCCACATAGCGTATTCATATTTGGGTGCAGTCACACCATGCACAAATCGTGCGACACACACCCCTCTTACAAGGGTACGGGTAATCTCGTTACAAATTAGGTATTACTTTACTAATTAGGAAAACTTATTGTTTTAGATATTGGCGAATCTGCCGCAACTAGACCAATTACATACAGTTTCAATTTTGAACGAAACAGCGTCTTTAGCCTGCTTAAAATTTTAAGTACTTGGAGGTAGCGGGTTGCGATTCGCTACAATCTTACTGGTTCTTGTAGAGAGCGTATGGTTGGTGACATTAGCTTAGATTCCTTTAAGCAAAGTGCTATGGCCGCCCCGCTGCATGGCGACATTTAAATGTGAATTGTGGGTAATCACAATTTCGATGAGGTAGAGTGTCTTGGGGTTACATGTAACCTGGTATGAAAGGGAAGGTCGCACAAGATGGTGTGACCGTATAAAGGTGTGGATTACACAAGTCGGATGTTCACCACGCCGTAACAAGAAGCCACTACGTGGCGGGATCGTCAGTAGTCATGCATATTAATCGGCTTTTACCATTGAATAAGAAAATCTAGAGATTCAAATACAGGCGGCTATGCCAATTTAAAAAGATTCGTACAATTTCAACTTTGAATGAAAGAGTCCATTTGTCTTGGGTCAAGGATTCTGGTAAAGTTGAGGCAGCGGATTGCGATCCGCTACACCCATACGGGTTCTAGTGTAGAACTTAAGGTCGGTTACCTTTGTAAGATTTTTTAAGCAAAGAATTACGGCAGATCCGCTGCAAACAGTATGTAGATATTGAATTTCATGGCGAGATCGCGCCAAATGTTCGACAAGAAAATGCTATCAAAGCTTTAGGTGCAAACTTGATGCGGCCTTACCTGCTTGCGATGTTACAACGGGTAGAAACCATTTCTTTGAAGAAGTTCACACGTTGTATGGCACATGTAGTCTAGATATCACGGTCTGCCTCAAGATTTATAAAGTCATTGTTCTTATCGTTTTACAAAATAATAAATCTAAGGTTCAGTAGTCGGCTATTATTAAAAACGATCGTAACTCTATCCCATAGATTAAAATCACTTCAGAAACTGTTTCAAACGAGTTCGCTGGTGACATTTTAGCCTCAATGATGCGCATCTGCCATCAGAGTCTGAGCAGTTCGATAATTGATGATAGTTCTGATACACCAAAGCAACATAAAGCAAGTATAATGTGTACCTAGCGTCACTCAGACTCGCAATAATTCGAAGGCTTAGATATCTGGTCTGTTAAGACAGGTCCTATATCACGTCTATAATGACATGATCCCAATTCACCTTATAAAATTTACAAGTTTAAACTTTGGTGTGCTTCGAAGGGTCGATTAATATTTTTGTAGCGGGATACGTTCCCTTCTAGGGTGAGCGAGGTCGTTACATTAAGGCTTGCCCTACATCATGCTTTAAAAAAGATTCTGCTTGAATGAACATCAGAGATCTGTCACTATAATTAATTCTGAATACATTAATTTTGAGCCTAGAGCAGTTTGCGTAACTGGGTACATAGCGTAATACCATTGTAGTAATCACAGTTTTGTAGGAGTTTCACGGTATACTTTTGTATAATTGTGACCAGTTAAAGCTACCAAAAAATTGGAATAAACAAATATGATTAATGCGTGAGCTCGTTGCTCTGCAAAAATTTTATCTAACGAGTTGGCGCTGGCAATCACACTTCCACGAGGCTTTAAGAGCGCTTCCATCAGATTCATACATCATGAGACTCGGAAATCTCTAAGGCGGGTCGCAACACCTGTTTGTTCGTACAGAATGATGACTCTGAAGCAGAGAGTGCCTTTGTACAATGGTAGAAAGAACGAGCCTCTCCACTATCGTTTGGTCATTTGGGTGCAGCGATCGCTGCAAATCAGCTGCGAGACCTTTGCAGCAGAGGTTGTTCTAGATGTCCAACATTGCGGGTCGTGCAAAGCGTTGGGCGTAAAATAGACGTATAGCCGATTTAAACTACTCTCCAAGCTACGAACACTACAAGATCGAACTACAGAAGACGTTTGGACTACCTCGATTTGCCGTTTGTGCCCGTGCCAAGTTTTTGAATCTTCATCAAGGTCGTTAGCACCTACACTTGTATCCACAGCGTGCTCATT